GTGCTAGGTAAATAAAATTATTATTCATATGATTTTTGAATATAGAGCGCTCTCTTTCTCCCCCGCCCACAGTAGTGGGAAGAAGGGCTGACTCTTCTGGTCCATATGCGATTGTCCGACCAAAGTCTTACTGGTCAGTATATTTCAACTTAGATAAATATTTCCACACCTTATGAACATCAACTAAAGCGAAATATATCAATTATATAACCTGTGGATCTTGTCCTGCCTGTTTTATGACGTCACCATCATCGAGCATGTCGGTGAGATCACTAAATATGAGCTGATCTTCCATCACAACTGTTCTGTTCCATTCATTCAGTGATGCATGCCTCGACACTCATGTTCTGTGTGTGGAGCTGAATAGAAACCCCAGGCTGCAGACTTTACTGTGAGTCAGAGATGAGAACGATGGATCTCAGTGACTGGATGCTGACTCCTTATGAAACGCCTCCACCTACTGACAGAAATCAAGAATGGCTGCAGAGGAGCATCACTCGTCTCAAGCTGATTGTTGTGCTGTTAGTGTGTTTGCTAATATACTGGCTGAAGACTGTCTTTTTTGTTAAAACATCATGATCTGGCTCAGTGTTTGTGGTTTACCTCAGACACTAACTGATCCCATCATTTTGACTGTGAGCTCATTAACTATACTCGCTGTCTAAGGGAAGATCGTTAGTGTTTGACTGCAAAGACACATTTCGAGTCTGCCATTCAAGACTTTTGTCTGATATATAAAGAAGAAACCCTTTAACGTCTAATACATGTATGTCTCTGACTTCATGCACACATTCAATGGGCAACATGTTTACTGTATAAGAATATAATCATTTAATAAATGCTTTGTAACATGTGCTGATGTACGTATGTATTAGTGTATTTGTCAACAACTAAAACACCTGTTGGCACATTAGTGAAGGATGCTGTTGGTGTATTATAATTGTTTTGGATTTTGCAACAGTATAAATGTTTGGTCTGGTCCTTGTGTGAAGTCGGCAAGCAGCCTGTTTCCAGCCTGATAAAGCCAAATAAACAGCATGACGGGTCTTAGTGCAGTCAGAGTACTGAGATATTAGCAGTCCTATCGCCATAAATTCAATAATAACAGAAAAACAACACCGTAAAAACGCAATTTAAGAGCAACAAAATACAAGAATACTGTATGTTAATGATGACGTTAATTTAAAGTAGAGAAACATAAAAAGTGAAATGAAGGGAAAACACAATCTAATTAGGGTATTTGTCTACATGTGTCCGTGTAGTGAGATGGTCTTACATCAGACTTAGGCTTAAAGAGCAGATTGCAAATGTTGCAAGGTGGCATATCCTCACCAGAAATGACCACAAGTACAAGAAATAAAAATCTGTTGACTACAAAACAAGAAACATACGTCTGCAATGTCTGTTCAAGTGAACTTAGCTGTCATTTACTGTTATCTTCTGTTCATTTATTTCTGTAGTATGAGTTTTCATTTTGTGCAACCGTCTGAACCATGTCAGACATCACAAACATCAATAGAGAGGGTTAGGGATAAGCCCACAGATTAAGTGCAAGCATTATATTCAAACAAGAACCATAATGACAACCCAATGAATCAATTCAACAAAAACATATCTCGCATTTGTTCAGGCCACTCAGATTTACATCATATCCAACATAAAGTATCGGGCTGAAACATGTAGATGAAATTGATTAGACAGAAGATTATTCAACAACAATCGATTTTCCATTAATTTATCAAGTAAATGTTTCATCCATTCTCTGGTTCAGGCTTGTCAAATGTCAGGATTTTAGCTTTTCCATCCATCCATCCATTTTCCTCCGCTTATCCGGAGTCGGGTCGCGGTGGCAACAGGCCAAGCAGGCTGACCCAGACTTCCCTCTCACCGGCAACATGTTCCAGCTCATTCTGGGGGATCCCGAGGTGTTCCCAGGCCAGCTGGGAGATGTAATCCCTCCAGCGTGTTCTGGGTCTTCCCCGGGGTCTCTTCCCAGTTGGACGTGCCTGGAAAACCTCCAGTGGGAGGCGTCCAGGAGGCATCCTAATTAGATGCCCGAACCACCTCAGCTGACTCCTTTCGACGCGAAGGAGTAGCGACTCGACTCCAAGCTCCCTCCTGATGACCGAGCTCCTTACCCTATCTCTAAGGCTGAGCCCGGCCACCCGACGGAGGAAGCTCATTTCGGCCGCTTGTAACCGCGACCTTGTCCTTTCGGTCACGACCCAGAGTTCATGACCATAGGTGAGGGTAGGAACATAGACCGAGTGGTAAATTGAGAGCTTTGCCTTCCGGCTCAGCTCCCTCTTCACCAAGACGGTCCGGTGCAGCGCCTGCTTTACTGCTGCAGCCGCACCGATCCGTCTGTCGATCTCCGCTCCATCTTACCCTCATTCGTGAACAAGACCCCGAGATACTTGAACTCCTTCGCTTGAGGTAGGCACTCCATCCCCACCTGGAGGGAGAAATCCACCGGTTTCCGGCAGAGCACCATGGCCTCAGATTTGGAGGTGCTAACTCTCATCCCCGCCGCTTCACACTCGGCTGCAAACCGCCCCAGTGAATGCTGGAGGTCATGATCCGAGGAGGCTAACAGGACCACATCATCTGCAAACAGCAGAGAGGCGATCCCGAGACCCCCGAACCTGACGTTCTCCACCCCCAGGCTGCGCCTAGATATCCTGTCCATGAAAGCCACGAACAGGACCGGCGACAAATGGCAGTCCTGGCGGAGGCCAACACCCACCGGGAACGTGTCTGACTTATTGCCGAGAATGCGGACACAGCTCCTACTGCAGTCGTACAGAGACCGGATCGCCCGTTGTAATGGGTCCCGCACCCCATACTCCCACAGCACCCCCCACAAGAACCCCCGAGGGACCCGGTCGAAAGCCTTCTCCAAGTCCACAAAGCACATGTAGACTGGTTGGGCAAACTCCCAGAACCCCTCCAGTAGTCTTGCGAGGGTAAAGAGCTGGTCCACTGTTCCACGGCCGGGACGGAATCCGCATTGCTCCTCTTGTATCTGAGGTTCGACAAACGGTCGGAGCCTCCTTTCCAGCACCCTGGCATAAGCCTTCCCCGGGAGGCTGAGTGGTGTGATACCCTGGTAATTCAAGCACACTCTCCGGTCCCCCTTTTTGAAAATGGGAACCACCACCCCGGTCTGCCAGTCCATGGGCACTGATCCCGACCCCCATGCGACATTGAAGAGGCGTGTCAGCCAGGACAGCCCAACTATGTCCAGCGCTTTCAGCATCTCAGGGCGGATCTCATCCACCCCCGGCGCCTTGCCACCAAGGAGCTTTTTGACTACCTCAGCGGCCTCTGCCAGGGGTATGGGTGAGCCTCCCCCTAGATCTTCAGGCGCTGCATGTTGGTCGGGTTTAGGAGTTCCTCAAAGTGCTCTTTCCACCGCCCGACAATGTCCCCTGTCCGGGTCAGCAGTTCCCCCCCCTGCTGAGAACAGCCTGGGGTAAGCCCTGCTTTCCCTTCCTGAGCTGTCGGATGGTTTGCCAGAACCTCCTTGAGGCCAACCGAAAGTCCTTCTCCATGGCCTCCCCGAAGTCCTCCCATGCCCGAGTTTTAGCATTCGCGACCACCGCAGCTGCAGCCCTTCTGGCCTGCCGGTACCTGTCAGCTGCTTCGGGAGACCCCTGGGCCAACCAGGCATTGAAGGTCTCCTTCTTCAGCTTGACGGCTTCCCTCACCTCCGGTGTCCACCACCGGGTTCTCGGGTTGCCGCCACGACAGGCACCGATGACCTTCCGGCCACAGCTCCTAGCGGCCGCGTCCACAATAGAGGCTTTGAACATGGTCCATTTGGATTCCATGTCCCCAACCTCCCTCGGGATGTGAGAGAAGTTCTTCCGGAGGTGGGAGTTAAAGACCTCCCGGACAGGGTCCTCCGCCAGACGTTCCCAGTTCACCCTCACTACACGTTTGGGCTTGCCGGGTCTTTCCAACCGGTTCCCCTGCCATCTGATCCAACTCACCACCAGGTGGTGATCAGTTGACAGCTCTGCTCCTCTCTTCACCCGAGTGTCCAAGACATACGGCCGCAAATCAAATGATATGATTACAAAGTCGATCATTGACTAAGGTGTTCTGGTACCAGGTACACTTATGAGCCACCTTATGTTCGAACATGGTGTCCGTTATGGCCAAACCGTGGCAAGCACAGAAGTCCAATAACGAGACACCATTCGGGTTCAGATCGGGCAAGCCTTTCCTCCCAATCACCGCCCGCCAGGTTTCTCCGTCATTGCCCACGTGAGCATTGAAGTCCCCCAGAAGAACTATGGAGTCGGTAGGTGGCGCCCTTTCCAGGACCCCTCCCACCGACTCCAAGAAGGCCGGATACTCTGAACTGCTGTTTGGTGCGTAAGCACAAACCACAGTCAGAGCCTTGCTCCCCGCAACCCGTAGGTGCATGGAGGCGACCCTCTCATTCTCCGGGGAGAACTCCAACACAGCGGCGCTCAGCCGGGGGCTCGTGAGTATCCCCACTCCCGCCCGGCGCCTCTCACCCTGGGCAACTCCGGAAAAGGACAAAGTCCAACCTCTCTCCAGGAGCTTGGTTTCTCCGTTTTATATTAATACATATTATATTTATTTTTCATTTATATTATATATTACATATAAATTATGTACCTTTAGCTTTGGGACTTTTGGTAGGAAAAAGCAAATACATTCCTGATATTATACAGAATACTACAGGATTAGTCAAAAATAGAATCAATTGACAACTAACAATAATTAAAATAACTGTAGGTTGCTATCCTAAACGTGGCCTATTCCTGTATTAACTTAGTGTGTTTTAATGTCAAATATTACAAATGAATACAAGTTTAAGTAAAAGTTCAAAAGTCCAAGTGAAACTTTCAACTACAATGCTTTTATATTGATTAGATAAATAGGTCAAACCACAAGGCGCACGGCGTACAGTTCACGTCCACAGGTCATCGTCGTCATGACGTCACCTGCATGACGCCCTCTAGCCCCGGAGACGATTCGGGATTGACTGTGCACTCTGAGCTCTTTTACCTGTCCGTGTGGCGTCCTGCGCGGCCGCCTCAGCCTGTTGAACTGCTTTGTGTTTGGACTCCACCCTGGAGGAACAGAGCACAAGTGACGGGAGGAAGCACGCGGATCTACCGTACAGACTGTCCGCTCCTGTAACGGTACTGGAACTGAGCAGACATGGGAGCCGTTCTGGGAGCCTTTTCCCTCGCGAGCTGGGTGAGTTCTGACAGTGCCGACACTATTCACAACCACTGTTTATCATTGACGGGACAGGTAAGATACGGTGACGTCATGAAGAGTGACCCGCAACAGGTAATATCGCTCCACCACACACTACACACGCCATACTCATTTCAAATGTCTGCTGTTCTAAGCCCCAGTCCTCCGCTCATAAGATACACAGCACGTCATTAAGTACTTGAGCTCGCGACTGTGGTTTATTGGTAACTTCTTCTCAATGCAGGACTTTTGTAATTATTCAGTTATTGAATCGTCTCATTCTGTCCCCGACAGCTAGCGGGGAGACGGAAAGACAAACTCCATTCAATTATCTCGCGCTTTTTTCTTTTCCTCACGTTGATTTAATATAGATTAAATATAACTTGAACTAGTATATGAAATATTTCCGTTTAGTGGTTATTTCTGCACTTGATTCACTTTGCAATGCATCATTACGTCTCGTTTCTATTTCCACAAAGCGAAACTTATTCTTGGTGACTCGGTAACACGTTAGATTCTAACTTCTTCTCAATGCAGGACTTTTACGAACATAGGACTTTCTACGAACATAGCGGTTATTCTAACGGTTAGAATAACCGCTATGTTCGTTAAAGGCGTCTGTTATAAAGTGTTCTCACGTGAGGGAAGGTGGACACAACAGGAAGCCCACGGCAAAGCAAGGGGGTAATCATAACACGTGATTAATTGGATCATCGTGCGTTGATGTAAGGCAGGAGCAGAGCAGACGATCCATATCACACACATGATCAGGACAACAATGTCCACAGCGGGACATTCAGGATCACAGCAGTGGATAGTGCAAACGAACAACAGACATAAGTAAAGAAACAAGATCAAAACAAGTTTAATAAATAGGTAATCACACAGTAAAAGTATTGCACTGAAAAGTACAATAAGTAATAACAAAGAAAGGTACTAAAAGGCACAAATATATAAGAAAACTGAAGGGAAAGCTCAACGGTGAGCAGGAGCTGCTGTAACAAGCTGCCACTCCTCAGGATTCATGCAGAAATATATAAATAAATAAACAAAACAATGGAAACATCACAAGTTGTCCAATAATCAGACATTCCTGGTATTAGGTGAATAGTGATTCAAAAGCAGAAAGAAGAAACATATTCTCACAGGAGGATTTTATTTGATGAATAAATAAATAAATCCTGTCGGTGCTTCAGTAGAGGACTGTCAAGTCTGCGAAGCTCAAGCAAAAGTAAACACCACGTCTCAGTGGATTGTACTGTTGTAAACCAATTTCTGTGGCCCGGTTGGTCATGTGCTGCCTGCATGTTATCTGGCACACCCCAGCCTAGTCTGTGGTTGTACTAAGCTGACCTTGTCTGGCTGGCAGGGGTATTAAGTTGTTGACAATCTTCCGGGCCTCCTTTGTCTCTGGACTCCGCTCAGTTGTTGGTGTGGCAGAGAGACACTGAACACACAGGCTGTTTTTTTTCATTGAAGTGATTGTGACCTTTACAGGATCACAATCAGTATTTGTTGCAATATAAGGGTTCTCTACAATATTCAGAGCATTATGTTGGTATGATCACAATGGTAGATTAGTTCAAGAGTTGAAAGGTAGCGAGACTAAATAGCAGATTGATGCAATCTTTTAGTTCAGACACAGACCCAAAGTCATCAGATGGTACCGCTTCGGCAGATGACTCTCAGATGATGGTCTTCTCCCTCATGTTGAATCTGATTCACCATACCGAGCAGAGAGAAGCCATTAGACTCAGCCTCCTGACAATCAACAGAACGATATGGGAAGTTTGTTATGCTCTGATATCGCTTACTGCTCCTCACATGCTTTCACAGGGCGATGACATTGGTTCACTGTAAAATACTAAACATTACCCACACAGGAGATCACCAAAACTGAGTTTGCAACTAAAAGAGGCTGCTTTATCTGAAGAATGAATTCACATGCTCGCTGTTGAAACATTTGTTTAATACAAAAATAAGTTGAATTAGAAATTCAATTATGCGGCTCTGCTCCTGGCCCGGGGGAGGAGCCGGATTTGGGGTGTGTCTGTCCCCAAAGACAGACACACTGGCAGCTGGTCGCTGCTGGAGTCCAAGCTGAAGAGTATCAGACACGATAACTCTAATCTCCTCGCTGACGCCCTGGTTTGCTTATGAAGGTCATACAGGGGCATCAGTATTAAACTGAGACTGTTTCATAACCAGTTAAAAAGATCCTCGTACTTTAAATATATCATTCAGTAAACCTGTATGGCATCTGCATTTGATGTTTCTGCATATTTGTATTTTTGTCTTTCACAGGTAGATACTGAAATGTATGCTTTTGTCTGTCCCCAGGTGCCGTGCCTGTGCAGCAGCGCAACCTGTCTGATGTGCAGCTGCTGCCCAAGCACCAGGAACTCCACGGTGACCAGGATCATCTACGCCTCCATCTTGCTGCTGGGGACCATCGTTGCCTGCATCATGCTGTCGCCGGGTGTGGATGAGCAGCTGAAAAGGGTACGAGTGGACTATGGAGATAAAGAATACATAGAGCGGACCTTTCTATTCACAGTAGCGCTCTATTTCTGTGTCAAACTGAATGGGAAGTAATCATATAAGTGATAAAGTTTACTCATATTACACAGTTGTTAATATGCACAGGTTTAATATTGTTGCTTATTGTTCTCACTGAACAGCCGATGCAAATACCTCGTTGTAGCTCTGAATGATATCCACCACACCAGGACTTTTAAGGCTGATACAGATTTTCAAAATTAGAGCATGATATACTGTATAGACCAATGTTGTTGTTTTTACATAAACATATACATTCATACAAATGTGAATGTATACATGAATAAACATTTTTACGCCTCAGTGACACTTGTGGCACTTGAGGCATTATGTCTGTCTGTCTGTCCATCCGTCCACTTGAGCAAATTTCTTTGACGTTGACACAAACATCCTCCGGGATTCAAGGATTGGCTGATTAGAATGTGGCGGTCAAAGGTCACTGTGACTTCACCAAACACATTTTTCTACCATAACACAAGATTGATAAATAGGACAATTTGTCTAGTAAGATGACATTTTGAACGGACATCGACGTAAACTGCAGCTTGTTGAGGGAGGCATTGATCGTTGATTGATTGATGGTAATTCAAGCTATGTAACAGTGACACTGGCTGCTTTTACATGATCTCAGACAAACTGGCATTTCTGCACAGCGATTTCTAGTCGCTTATCGATCAGCACATGTGTCCTGATTCTTAGCCTGAGTGAGATCTGGAACACTTAGGTCCTGGTTACACTTGTCTTTTTTTTCAAATGGACGTTTGTCATCTGAACGCATTAACTGTCGAATCTGTACGCTCCAGGATTGGATCTAGTAAAATGTGTTTATCAGTAGCCGAGCTTTGTTAGCGGCTATTCTTCAATAAAACCTACTAACACTGAAGGGAGGAAGGGTTACAATGAAGAATAACAGAGGCTTTTATTGTGAAATGAAATGTGTATATCCTTCATTTGTGGACACACATATGGACACAGCGTATCCCTCACTGGAGAGACGCAAGGAAACCATGCGAGGAGAGAGGAAACAGGGAAATATGTTTTAAGCTAGATGAGACGTCCTTTCCTTTGTATTGTCACGTGAAGTGACGTCTGTTTCTGATGACGGCAGCTCTGATCACAGCTGGATCAGCTGTCAGTCGGCTTTAACAGCTGGAAAGACTTTTAAGAAGATTGTGTCTGTTCACATGATCATTGTACTTTAATAGTAACTAATAATACTAATAACTAATAAAGACACAGTAATCACCACTGTACTTAATAATAGTAACTAATAATACTAATAACTAATAAAGACACACAGTTATCATCACTGCCAGAGTAGAAGTGTTTTCTCTCTGTAGCCTGTTACCTCTTTAACAAACTGCATTGAGTATTTATACACAGTCTGTGGTATTTATACACAGTCTGTGGTATTTATACTGTGTTCTGTTTATAAGTGCAGGAACGATTTCTACCAGTGGAATGCGTTTATATATTTATGAATTTTTTGCGTCTGTACGTTTTGAAATTGTGATTGAGACGTCATTATTAAATAACCCAGAATATGATTATGGTTTCTCTTGAACTCTGTAATTCATGTATTAGGCTCCATGTTTCAGGTTAAACTTAAATGATAAAACTCATCAAACCCGACACTCAGGAACGATCAGCCTCACGTGACTGAATGAAATGATGACAAATGATGTAAAAAGTGTTTCGTCTCTCCTGCTCTCTCTCACATTAATTGTATTCATAATAAAAGTTATTGAGGGAAATATCAGATCATGAAAAGACAAATCTTTCTAATAAATGAAGAGAGTTGTTTGTGGTCCTATTTAAACCAGATGGTGAATCAGAAAACTAATCAAATATAAAGCTTGAGATTAATCTCTGATCTGTCTTCACTCTGGTATGAAACTCCAGTGATATTTAGAAAAAGAATCAGTCCGATCAGCTGCAGCGTCCAATCACATAACTGATGAACGATGAGGGGGTGTCAGCCGTTAAGACACTTGCTGGAAGGCTGCTCTTGTGCATCCTCGCTCATGGATCCTCAGAGATCCCTCCTCCCTCCTCGATCCTCGCTCCTCGATCCTCAGAGCAGAAATAAGAGCTTTGGGACGGCCGTCAATATGGCACGCAGAACAACTTCCGTTATGGAAATGACAAATAAGAGACTTGGGATGTACCCAGAGTGTGTGTCAGAGTAAAGCACAAAGACAGAGAGAGAGGAGGTTTGAGACGAGGACATCTCACTCCAGAACATCTAAAGTACCGATAGCAGAACCGCTAACTCTGGACCTTATCGATACTCTGGGTATTTACTACTGTCTTATCGGTTCCCGTTTAGAACCGGGTATCGGGGAGCATCCCTACTTGTAACCTAAGTTAATGCTATCGTTAGGTGAAATGCTGATTGTACTAATAACCCTTTTCTGGATGAATTCACACAGAGCCACACACTGACTAACGGGGCTTTCTTGGTTAGATGTGTAAATTCAGGTTCATTACAGACTTGTCTTAAATCAGTTAGAGGTTCACAATGTTGTTTTTTAAATATTCGTTTAATTGCCCGGCACTATTCAGCATCCTTTGGAGTTCAGCTCCTGCTCATTTGAGCCCATCGTTTATAAATGTTCAAATGTGACCTCCTGTTATGTGCTGTAGATCCCAGGCTTCTGTGAAGACGGGGCTGGCTCTTCTATCCCCGGCCTGCAGGCTGACGTCAACTGTCAAATGTTCGTGGGCTACAAGGCAGTGTACCGCATCTGCTTTGGCATGAGTATGTGGTTCTTGGGGTTCGCCGTTCTTATGATTAACATCAAGAACAGCAGAGACCCTCGAGCAGCCATCCACAATGGGTAAGCACTGCAGTAACACACGATGCACTTCATTACCCACACGTTGCATTGGTGTGTCTCCTTTCCTGCTTCTGTTTTTGAAGGCTTTCAACCTCAACATTTACACTGCAGGTGTTTCATGCGTGGAGACAGAGACAGAGTAGGCCTACATCAAACACATTAACAAAAAGGGAAAAAAAGACCTCTGTCCTCTGAGCATTTGTGCACTGTAACACTAGGTCAGAGGTGTTATAGGTTATACAACATCTCGTTCAGCAGATGGCCTTTGTCCTGCACACACTGTTGAAGTCCTTAGATTCGTCTACTCCCTTTACTTTCGTTTTTCAGATCTACAGCACGTTACTCATTTACCGATCTGGCCTCCATATCCATTTATCCACTTATCTCAAGCAATTTGTATCCGCCTAGTTGTGGTCTATCATGTAGCAACGTGTGCTCCTTGCGTGGGCCTAGGCTGTATGGGACATGTAGTGTTACGGTTAGACTGGTTGCTTGGGGGCTGTTAGGGGCCTTGCAATGTTTTCTTCAAGTTTGTGAGTCAATATTTTTAAGTCAACCGCCACAACAGATATCTCTCAATGCAAATGTATCGTAACTCACGTGCAGGCAAAAACAACCCAGTCCGTATTGTCCACTTAATCAGGAAAACTAAATAATATTCTTTCCAGTTCAGTTCAACAAAAATAAGGAAAAAATACCAAAACAAAAAATATTTTCTCATGGCTTTTATTGGAGTGGCTGAGAGTCTCGTGAGTCCAGTCCAGTTTAGTCCATGCCTTACGTCAGGAAGACGCTATTTCCAGCGTCCGTAGCAGGTAACTCCAAGGCCCGAATAACTCCCAGGATTCACTTGACTGGAGGATTCAGTACGAGCACCACACAGATATATCTGTAATGCGGACTTTAAAGAAGAAAAACAAAGAAAACAGATGCCAGCCTTCTGCTCCGACAGGACGATCTAATCACTTCCTCGTACCACTTTGCCAACCCGGATTTCCGCATCGTCACCATTTTAAAAGAAGGGGATTTGTTTACGAGCGAGGTATGTCTGTGACAGGGCTGGGGATGTGTGATGAATTAACATATGATAACCTCCCGTGGTAGTGATAGCTACAATAGACTACATGATAAACAATCTTTTACTTCTATGTTTTTAGTCAGTGTCCCACACAACCATTGAGTGGTCATATTCAGGCCTGTGAAACATGTTGCTGTGAGTTGTCCGTGTGGGAGCCTACTTGTAAAAATGCTGTTATTATTTTGCTTGACTGAATGCTAAGCAACTTTTGTGTTGCCTTTACAATGTTTTTATGTTAACTAAATAAGTGAAAAGGCAACAATTAAACAGATTCTGGATTTTTACGTAGGCAACGGGACAAGATTTGGCCATCTGGTTTCCTTCTGGTTTGGGTTTTTTTGGTCCGAATAGTACTGAATAGTCACGTCCAAGTGGACTTTGGTTGAATGTAGGTCAACAGTCCGTCTGGAGAGCAGAGGAGGTGGATCGCATTGGCTGAAATGTAATTTATGAACCCACCGGCTATCGTCTGACCATGATTTAGCTTTTTATTGGATTCAAATGAGATTGTCAAATGGCTAATTGTGAAAGAACCCGGTCGTACACCTCCAACTCCAGTCTCACATCTTACGTTTTTTATCGGACTGTAAACAATGAGCAGCGCACGGAAAAGGAATTCTTGGCCCAGATATCTGCTGGCTATACCAGAACCCCATATACAGCCCATTGATCCCAGAGGCTTATGGGACATCAGACCGATAGCTGATGGGTTCTGAGATTATGCAACAATATAATCAAAGACTTTTCTATTTTTCAAATGAAATAAAAGCATGTCAGTAAACTATATGTCTGGCCCTCATGATTCTCATTTCCCAGTGTGGTCCTTAGTGAAATTGAATTTGGCACACCTGATTTAGTTTATACAGTTAAAGAAAAGTGAAGAACAAATGCTCATCAAACTCATTTTAGTTCATGGGCCACATACAGACAATTTTATCTCAAGTGGGCCGGACCAGTAAAACCATTGCATGAAAGCCTATGAATTACTACACCTCCAAAGGTTTCCCTTTATTTTAGTGTAAAGAAGTACAAATACATTCTGAAGAGTGTGTAGGTGAAGCATTAGGTCTTTCTAATTTGACTCATTTAGCGGCTGGCTAATTAGCTAGCTGACGTTATCATGCCAATTCCACATTACACTGGTTACCGAAATTGAGGGGAAACCGCTTTGGAGACGGGTTAAGGTTTGAATACGAGTAACTACTACTCGGAAGCTGGCACCCAGCTCTCCTCCTGGCGAAGTAGTCTCCCAGCGGTGAGCAGTGAGGAGCAAGAAACAGTAAATTCATCAAATTCTGTGGCCCATGCCATACAACTGTTTACCAAGGTACTGTAGCTAGCTGTCATCTGCTCATATTTGGTCATATATGTTGACGCTGCGTCAAGGTCATATGGAAGTGGGCGTGGTTTCATCTCAGCCACATGCCTACCTTTGGGGATTGTTGAAAATGCTGAAGTGGGTGGACGGGCTCAGACCTGGGGGTGAAGTTACACTTTAACCTCTGTGAAGAAATAGGACGTGGTTGTTACCACTTTTCTCATTTTTGACCAATAGTGCACTTCATGGAAACATTTGAATTAATGACTTAAGTAAAGGCTCTGCAATTTCACACGTTGGTCATCCAGTGGGCCGGATTGGAGACTTCATCTGTCCGGCAGTATGTTTAATACCCTCTCCTAAAGTTGCTCACTTGGTCTGTGTGGTGGAAATGATTTATTTCCTTGAAGAGAAATGAATAAATAAACAATGATACAAAGAACAGTTGTCTTTTATGTATTTAATAATTGGTAAAGAAGAATAATAGAGTAAAACAGAGTCAATATATTTCTGCTGAAAGGACAGAGCTCAAACACGAGTGTACTTGGTGAGTTTGAACAAGGTGGCAACCTCCGGTTCTGCCGAGCAAAGCCGATGTGGAATTGTCTTAAAACTTACATTCTCTCTAGTGTCCACCAGGGGGCGACTCCTCTGGTTGTATAGAAGTCTATGAGAAAATGACTCTGGTCTGCCATGACCAATGAGCCTGGTGAGGATGTTTGCTGGTTGCCTGAAATGTTGCTTTAAACAATCATGCAGTTATGAATTAGCAGAAATAACCATCCATTAGCCGCAAACAAGAAACCGAACATGTTTCCGTCCTTGGCACTGTTGTTATGCGTTGTTGCAGTCATTTGAAAGAAATAGCATCCTTTTTATGCCATATGAGTATAAATTATTGCTTTTGTTATTAGTGCTTTTGGTTGTTCTTTTCAAAATGCATGATTTGTGTTGTGGCAGCGCAACATGCTGTAGTTAATTGATTCCTCCATAATCCACGCTCAAAGCATTGCATTTGATTAGGAAGGGTTTAAGTATCATTTTCAAGCTACTTTCATGGATCTCATGTCTTGTGCTCACCCGTCACATAGACGTGTGAGGGGGCAAGGGGGCTTTTGGAGTGATATAATATTTTTCATGAAGTAAAGCCTAAATTGTATAGTAGTGTATTTCTTTCTCCAAAGTTATACTTCAAACGAGCCAAACAATATTAGTCACTGTCTCCCACTGACTACTGCAATAGCACTGAAAGTTGAGTTGAGGAGCTCGACAGTCACAGAACATGTCACTTAGTTTGGTTTCTTATAGCTCTTTCTAGCAGGCGGCAACCTCCGGGTCTGAAAAGTGAAGCCAATGTGGAATTATCTTAGACCTCCATTCTCTCTAGTGTCCACCAGGGGGCGACTCCTCTGGTTGTATAGAAGTCTATGAGAAAATGACTCTACTTCTCTCTTGATTTATTACCTCAGTAAACATTGTAAACATGAGTTTATGGTCTCAAGCTCTAGTTTCAAGTCTTCTTCAATACAGCATGATGTTCATTTAATAACTTATGGTCCATTTAGAGTCAAACAGACCTTAAAGCAGGGGATGCTTTAGGGCGGGCTTACTGTGATTGACAGGTTGCTACCGCTACCAGAGCCATATCTGGCTAAGACACTCCTTCGCATTCCAAATATGGTAACTTCAGTTCATCGGTTGCAAAAAAGCCAAGATGGCGACGGCCGTATGTCAAGAATCTCAGCTCTCCAGTCAAAGCCAATTCATGCAATTTTAAGAATGCTGAATGAACCTAGTATGCAGAAATGTTTAACTATACCATTTTAGAATGGGTAAAAATAACATTACATACATTTATACTGTGTGAAAAACACTGCTTGGTTGTCGCCCTTAACTGCATGAGATTATTATAAAGTCGACGGGTCTGTAAAGGGGAGACTCATGGGAACCATAGAACCCATTTTTACGAACATATCTTGAGGTGAGAGGTCAGGGGACCCCTGTGAAAATGGCCATGCTAGTTCTTCCCTCACCAAAATCTGAAGCATTATTTAGCCTCCTTCCCGACAAGCTGACATGACATAATTGGTACCTAATGGATTCATCAGGTCGTCTAGTTTCATATGATGTCCCAAGCCAGCTACAGCCTCTTAGAGACCGTTATGTCGGCCAATAAAACAGAATAATGCTAGCTAGCTAGATGGCTTTATATCGCAGCTTTGGCTTATTCCTGGAGTATTGGATATGTAGGTTAATAAACAGTCCAGTACACAGTAACCACATGGTTCCTCTGCTGATCGCTCAGCAGCTCCAATTGTTTGTCTCACATATAAACCTTGCAGCATATTATTCTATTGTTGAAAGTGGCAAGTGATGACATGCTTTGGTTATTGTTTGACTTTGAGGATCACGAGATATATGTGCTCTTGATAGAACTCTAAAATGTATGTTTATGTACATTCGACTGTGTAATTTGTTTTCAGATTTTGGTTCTTTAAGTTTACTGCCTTGATGGCCATTACAGTCGGTGCCTTTTACATTCCAGATGGGCCTTTTACCTACAGTAAGAACTTTATCTTTTAAGTTTTTGCCATCTCAGATCTTGACATCCAACGCACACAGAGTTGTGACATTGCATGACAGAGGAGTAATTGAATGTCTGTCGTCGCAGCGTGGTTTGTCGTGGGCTCCGGTGGAGCTTTCTGTTTCATTCTGATCCAGCTGGTGCTGCTGGTGGACTTCGCCCACTCCTGGAACGAGTCCTGGGTGGACAAGCTGGAGACTGGCAACTCCAGGTGCTGGTATGCAGGTCAGCAACTCAAGCTGTGGCACAAACACATGCTGCTTACAACTGTGTTTTGAGTGGGTACTTTAAAATAACAGAATGAAACATGCAGACTCAAATTTGTTGCTTTTTTTAATTTGGGGTGTTGATGGACATGACACTTTAATGATGCAAAACACAATGGAAAACTGCTCGCAGCTGAAAGAAACATTTAAAGACTGGGTGCTGGGACTGAACACTTGAAATTAGAAATATAGTTTACTTATATACTTCGTTATAAGTTTTAGGCTATTTTTGTATCAGATATTTACCTTGTCTACCTTTGATTTTCAGCTTTGCTGGCGGTCACGATCCTCAACTACATCCTGTCATTTACTGCTGTCGTGCTGTTCTTCGTCTTCTACACCAAACCTGATGGATGCTTCATAAACAAGTTCTTCATCAGCTTCAACATGTTGTTCTGCACCGTGGTCTCTGTTGTCTCTGTGCTGCATAAAGTACAGGTAAAGTACTTCAATGTCAATCATTCAGGCAGGCATGAGCAGTCGTTCGATGCAACAATACAAAAATGTGCCGGGCTTTTGAGATACACAAAGTGGAAAAACAGCAGAGTATGCTGTAGGGCGGGGCTACCTTGTGATTGACAGGTCGCTAACACGGCGTTGTCCGCTCTGGGAGTTGTCCGTGTTTTTGTCTTAAACTTTAACCCTTTTACACATGCTACATCCACACTAATACGTTTTCATTTAAAACCGGGGTGTTAAAACAGAAACGATATCTGTCCACACGGTTCCAGCACTGTTTTCTCAATGACTTCCATCCATACTAACATGCCTGAAAACGAATATCACATGACTATTCACGTACACTGGGCATGCGGGTGCCGGTGTAAACAGGAAGTAGATTGGTTCTTTAGTTACAGGAAATACAACAGAGTATTATGTTAGTCTTTAATAATAAAATGGCACGCTTGATACTTAAGATCTTCCCCTATAAACTCAAACATACAAATTTGACACACGTGTCCACAAGAAAGCTCAGAAACGGCTGTATTTCTTAAGGAAATTAAAAAAATAAATACCCCTGCCACGTTCTTGTTAAACTTTTAGAGAGGAGCAGTAGAATGCATCCTGACTGGAAATATTACAAGCTGGTAAGGGATGTGCACGACCCAGGACAGGAGGGCATTTCAGCTTGAATTGGTGAGGTGAGGTGCCTGAGCAGAGCCCAATGGATATCAAAAGGCAATACCCAGCCACCCCCGGTATCAGCTGCTTTAACACCAGACTACAGAGCAGCTTCTTTCCTCTGGCTGTAAGACTCCGCAGCTCATCCTCCACACCCATAAATACATGACATGGAACTTTCTGCTACGCTGGTTTTACACATTATCGTACCAGCGGCTTTTGCACTACCCTCATTCCCACCAAACCAAAGTCTTTCCTGGTATATATGGATTTGTATATAAGTAACTATATACATTGTTTTATTTAATTTTATTATATTCTAAGATATATATTTGTATTTATGTTCTTTGTGTTGAATAAGCACTGAACATTGGATCACAACCTATTCCCAAACCTTGACAAAATAATCTCAACTCAATGTCCACTCACTGGCATTTTCCATACTTTCAGCCACATTTTACATTCTTCATCAGTGAATGGAGTTTGCTCAGTTATCATGGAGTATTCCACGTTATAAATGTATGGATTTCTGACTGTTTTATTTGTGTTTGTCCAAAGGAGTCTCAGACACGTTCAGGTCTTCTCCAGTCCTCCATCATCACCCTGTACACCATGTATCTGACCTGGTCTGCCATGACCAATGAGCCTGGTGAGGATGTTTGCTGGTTGCCTGAAATGTTGCTTTAAACAATCATGCAGTTATGAATTAGCAGAAATAACCATCCATTAGCCGCAAACAAGAAACCGAACATGTTTCCGTCCTTGGCACTGTTGTTATGCGTTGTTGCAGTCATTTGAAAGAAATAGCATCCTTTTTATGCCATATGAGTATAAATTATTGCTTTTGTTAGTAGTGCTTTTGGTTGTTCTTTTCAAAATGCATGATTTGTGTTGTGGCAGCGCAACATGCTGTAGTTAATTGATTCCTCCATAGAATGTGCAAAGGTATCCACGCTCAAAGCATTGCATTTGATTAGGAAGGGTTTAAGTATCATTTTCAAGCTACTTTCATGGATCTCATGTCTTGTGCTCACCCGTCACATAGACGTGTGAGGGGGCAAGGGGGCTTTTGGAGTGATATAATATTTTTCATGAAGTAAAGCCTAAATTGTATAGTAGTGTATTTCTTTCTCCAAAGTTATACTTCAAACGAGCCAAACAATATTAGTCACTGTCTCCCACTGACTACTGCAATAGTACTGAAAGTTGAGTTGAGGAGCTCAACAGTCACAGAACATGTCACTTAGTTTGGTTTCTTATAGCTCTTTCTAGCAGGCGGCAACCTCCGGGTCTGAAAAGTGAAGCCAATGTGGAATTATCTTAGACCTCCATTCTCTCTAGTGTCCACCAGGGGGCGACTCCTCTGGTTGTATAGAAGTCTATGAGAAAATGACTCTACTTCTCTCTTGATTTATTACCTCAGTAAACATTATAAACATGAGTTTATGGTCTCAATCTCTAGTTTCAAGTCTTCTTCAATACAGCATGATTTTTCAATTAGTACATTATGGTCCATTTAGAGTCAAATAGACCATAAAGCAGGGGATAGTTTAGGGCGGGCTTACTGTGATTGACAGGTCGCTGCCGCTACCAGAGCCATATCCGGCTAAGACACTCCTTCGCATTCCAAATTCACAGTGACTACATCCACGTCTGATATACAGCCTGTGGTGCCCTTTAAATGGTTATTTAAAGGGCACCACAGGCCATTTTTTTGAGAAAAGACTGCCCCCTCACAATTTTTAACAGCCCCTTCATCCTGTCACTTCATCCTTGCGCCTTGTTTGGGTAAAAAGGTGGTTTATAACGCGGCTCAATACCCTGATTTTCTATCAGAATCAGTCTCTGTCATCATTTCTAGCTGTAGATTTAAACATTGTACTTGTTTTTTCTCTCCTGCTCCTGCTTCAGACCAAGAATGTAACCCCAGCCTACTGAGAATCTTCCAGCAGATTGCGGTCCCCACACCCGCCCCACTGGAGATGGAGAACCAGACAGCCGTAGTGATCATCGGCACAGAGGAACCAGTCCTGACAACTCCGTACCTGCAGTGGTGGGATGCCCAGAGCATTGTGGGACTCTCTATATTCGTCCTGTGCATCCTCTACTCAAGGTGAGACAAGTAACAATGTGACCATCCCAGTGTCAAACCATCCCGGTGTCAGTCTTCGGTCACAAACTCATGACTAAGTCTAGAAATGTTCTCATGACATGACGTGACGGTTCTGGTTAAGTCAGACACGTTTTCAAAGAGCAAAAGAAAGCTTTGCCTCGTTTCCACTGAGCTGATTTAATTAGTATGGGCTGTCTATGGGAAACTGTAAAAATGTTTGTCACAAGACTCTCTCTTTACTGCTCAGCACATGCAAGCCCTCTTCACTGTCATAAACAAATGCATGAAATACAAAAGAAATAAAATGATGTGACAAACACTTATTCATCATTTATTAACGTATAATTCCTTCTCCATTTCAAAACGAATGAAGTAAACTGAGTTTCAAAGTTTAGTCTCACCTCCATTTCTATTTAGTTTCTGTTGTGGAGCTTTCAGTCATATCTTATGATCTTTACATTACAATACAGTCATTTTCATCTGCCAGTTCCCTTTTCCAAGGTCATGAATGATTCTTCAAACTCAACTTTTTAGCCAACAATGTGGAAAAGTATTTCAAGCACTCAGAGAAAAAAGGATTCAAGGCTTACGAGGAACTTTCATTTTGTGTTAATGTTGGTGGTCCCTGCGGACAATAGTGGTAGTGTTTCTAAGCACCAGAGTCCCTTCAGAAAACCTCTCATGTTACTGCAGCAGGGTCTGACAGTCTGCTCCTCTAAGTCCTGGTTCTGGTTCTCCCGTGCCTCCCTTCCCTTAAGGAAGGAGGAGGAGACGCTGCTCCTGGAGGATGGGGAGGAGACGCTGCTCCTGGAGGAGGAGGAGACGCTGCTCCTGGAGGAGGGGGAGGAGACGCTGCTCCTGGAGGAGGGGGAGGAGACGCTGCTCCTGGAGGAGGAGGATGGGGAGGAGACGCTGCTCCTGGAGGAGGAGGAGACGCTGCTCCTGGAGGAGGGGGAGGAGACGCTGCTCCTGG